GTTGGTTGCAGTAATTATTACTACTGTTATTGAAGATTTGGTCTGCTACTTTACAATAGTAACGTCATCTACAGTGTTCTTCGTGTCGATTGCTTAAAACAACACAATTCAAGACTATTCTATTGTGTTAAATGAACCAAGTAGGCGACATGCTTCATTAAGTTGATAAATTACTCCCTCTAACATTTTATTTGATGAGGACATTTAGCAATAAATTGCTATATTCACTTGCAGAAGGGATGAGTTGAAAATAGTAATCTTAAAGTCGTTGTAATTGTTTTAATAGGAATACCGCTTAAATACTGAAGATATGTGAAAGCGCCACAATTCCCTCAGAATTTATTTTGCGCTCATATCCCTTCCATTGTGTGTTTTGTCTGTTTCATTAGCCTTATTTAGACGTGTACTTGAACAGCAAAGGAATTTAACTAGTCTTTAAATCAGTTCAAACTTAAATGTTGACTTTTAAAATGGCTGAAAACAGCCCTCAACTTCTGAATATATTCAGAAGTATATGTCCATTGTGTGATAACCCCCAGACAAACATATTCTTATATTTCCCACTGTTCAGGCCCAGTGAAATAAAAAGCCGAATCAACATTTTTACGGAGATCGGTGTGAAGTTTATCTGCATTATTACACTATCGAACAAGTCATGGCGAAAGTGACACTCCAAAAAAGCCACTGTACTTTTAACATTACGTCATCTCAATTTTACTTACTGAAAGTTTTGTATTCCGTTGCTCCCAGGTATTGGTGTGTACATCAACAGTGGCAGTAAAATGAAACCTTATGGATTTAAATAGTTAAATCTGGTTTGCTGGTAACAATGTAAATATACTACTGTCGTTTGTTTGATATTTGTAGCAACGTGGCACAAACGAAGATGCAAAACTCAATTTAGGTTAAAAATAAGGTGCCTATTGGCACAATGGCCAAATACTCGATAACAAAATGGCCAAGGTTTGATCCCTGGCCAGCGCATCTAAAAATGTTACCTATCTGATTGTAAACCTGAAGAAGAGTGAAGAGTAAGTATGAAACTAGCAACTCCGCCTCGTGAAAATAAAACTACGATTGCTTAAACTGCAAAGCTTGAAGAATTATGTTCTTCTCAGAACGAAAGATATGAAAAATCGAAGGATGAGTTCATTCAAGAAAATATTTGATCTTATTTGCTTAAGTTGTACTAAGTTAGAAGTGCAGACGATAAAAATTAAGCTATCAACTTTGACAGTAAGCATTTTAACCCTTTTTGTTCCTACTATGTCAGTGCAAGCAACACGGCAATAATTTATAACATTTTTGCTTAGTGCATTTCATGATACCGATTTCCCTTCTAAAGGCAGTTTCCTGTTTCTATAAATCTGTCGTATAATTTCATCAGTATACTTAATTATTTTCATTCAGTTTCAATATCTTTTCGTTATATAAATGTAAAAAAATAAGCTTGCATTAATATATCTTCTCGCAAGTCTCATTTTCTCAGCTCTGTTGAAGCATCGTATGTACTACTTGCTTCAGAGTGCATATGATGTAGGTGTGCAAGTATTCTTCTCTATCACATGATCCTTACAAAACATGCTTTTAATATCGGAAAGAATTATCTTTACCCCCACGGAATTTAACTTTTTATTTAATAAGACTTTTGTAAGAAGAATATTACTGGGATTCTTAAATCTTATACAGATAATATCACAGGGCAAACCTTATAAAATATACTCTATATCATTTGTTATGCAGTTAAGCTGATTTTATTACATGAAATGAAAGTTACGTTAACCTGTAAACCACCACAAAATATGATTGGTAATCCAGTATCCTACTATGTTTATCAAATTACATGTATGTGTGATCAAAAGTAAGTAAGGAAGACTTATCGACCTCCGTAGGTTAGGACTGCAGAATACATTTCTAAGTGGCTGCACGAACAGATGAAATCATCTGTTCCCGGTGTCTCTGAAAGTACATTCCCAACACCATCTAAACAAAACACGTCTCAGAGAAACGGTTTACAAATCTGTATTTAACAGTTCATTTGAAACCACCTATAGGCTGGGTTCAGGTCAGATAGTCAAATTTATTGAGGTCCTATCCATAAATTTAAAAAAACTTTACTACTACTCTGAAATTGACTTAGTAATACAATTTTACAATCAAAGATTGTAAAAAGTTTCCACCTTTCTTTCTTATCTTTTATCTGAGTTGTCGACATTAAGTAAATATTTTGATTCATGGTAATTCACTTTTGAATTTTATACTGCTATACACATAAATATGTGTGAAAAGTACGTGTGTAATCAGAGTGGGCGAAATACGTTGTACGAATATATTACACTCTTGAATCCGCTACTGTATTATTTCATTATGTCTAAAGATTCAGGAATTAAATATATTTCCACGAAGTATGTAATACGAGGAATATTCAATTGTCTGTCCACTGATTATGACAGACTACTGGAAACTCGTTTGTGTTATTAAGGCAAAATACACGGAGATACATCTCTCAGTCATACAGTTTAACATTAACTGCTTACAATGCCGTCCTTTAATTCATTTACATTTGACTCTCTATGTTAAAATATTGTGTCTGATATAATCACATTATTGGTGCCTTTTCTGGCTACTGAATGACAGCATTCATGAAGTCTCAGTTACAGAGAGTAAGGAAGAGTTTCCTAATTAATTTTAGAAAGGTTGATTGACAAAGATCCACATTTATTTGTTTATAATGAGTCAGTATTTGGGTATGGATCTAGATAAGGAAAACGATTAAAACTGGTTGAATAAAAACGCGCACAGTGAGAGAAATAAAAGCCATGAGTATGTTCCAAAGCAGGATAATGGGCGATTTCCAAACCATTGAGAAATACATATCCTAACTACTGCTTACTGGCTGTAAAACGTTCCTCAGCTAACTGCCGTACATCATGAGTGCTCGGATGAAGTAATTTAGTCTTCTGTTTTTTAACTATTCTTCAGTAAACATCAAATGCTTGTTATGTTAGTATTACTGTTGTCAGTACTACCTAAAATAAGACTACAGAAAGCTCGTATGGACATACGCATCAAGTTTTTCATAAGTTTTTGAAAAACCCCGGTTTAAATCCAGATTTTCTGAAGAAACAATTGTAACAAACCTTTTATAAAAAATAATTGTTTTAAACACGATGATAACAGCCATACTTGCACTTTTTAAATTTATGCTTTATTGATAAATCAGCCTAAAATAACAGATTGAAAAGAACATGAAACCTACTGACCATCTTCAGCAGAAAAATAACATGTTATCAGTCTGTTTATTCTGAAGGCACTTTTTTAAGGAACCATAGTTTCCTTCTAAACAGAATATTGGTAAACGAAGGCACCTACGTTTAGCGTTAGCCTTAAAAGTGGCCATAGTATCGTTATGTACACAAGTTTCAAATATTTACATATGACTTAAAAAATGTGGTATAACACCATGTGTTGTGGTTCCAATGCCGAAAATGAAAAAAGTAACCAAATAATTTTAAAAGCAGAGAGAGTATGTGTCGCTTGTAAATACTGGACACATGTGTTTTCATACATGTGATCATGAAATTCTAACCGATAGAGAAACTTTATCAAACATGAAGTGATTTCGAGTCATTCGGAATGTGCTGTTCAGTAGGTCTACTAGCGGGTCCTTATTAAAGTGCAGTTGTTTTTCATTTCTCGTTTCTCCACAACCAGTTAGTCAATAAAATAATCTGTTAAGGTAATAAGAGGTGTCTTTTAATTTTTTATTGCTGCAAAATGCATACACTAATGTCAAACTTTGTTGAGCACCTGAATGTATCAAAAGTTCTAACAGGATGTTATCTGTTTTTGTATTTCATTGCAAGAAAACTTTTCGATTATTTGGATGGACAACTTTCATCGACAACTATTGTGTCACTAACTAAACATGCTGAATGCAGATTTTCACAGTCATCCTCACTTTGAAGGTTATCTTCATTTCGACTCGACGGACTAAAATCGACCTAGTTCAGCTTGCATAGGTTAGTATATTTATCAATCAGTAAGTCATGTTCGAATGATTGTATTAACTCAACTATCTAACCGACTGGAATATCAACAACATTCACTTCCGAACTAACCACCTCAAACGTTGGATAAGATTACCATACCTTTAGTATGAGGATATATATGTATATATATTCGCTTAGTGTATATATATGTATATATATATATATCAAAAGAGAGACCACACGTGTGTACAAAGCCAAGAATTTCAACCTACAATATAATTAATGCGACCATTCAGTCACCTGCATTTTGAAAACCGATTTCTTTTTCTCTCTCATGTTTTCTAGTTATTCCTGTATATAACAATGACAGATGGTGTAATGCGCAATCATAAAGTAACGTTAATTAGGTATATACCAAAAAACAGTAGTTGAATTCCACTGGGAAAATATTTCATCACTTTAAAGACATCTGGATTTTGAATATATATACATTTATATATATGCAAGAAAACTGCAGTATCCTATATTGTCGTAAAGCTGGATACATTTTGTGTTTGATTTGTTTCTAGACATCAAATCTGCCTATACTCTGCTAGCTAGCTAGTTAGTTAGATGGTAAAAGTTAACCAAGCCGCGTTGCTGATTATTTCCAGACTTCAGTAGATAACAATAATTTAAAGTTCTGTTGGAAGCCTGTAGGTTGACAGAGTTTCAGTACACAGTAGATAGCGATTTGGGTTAAACAACTAACTGGCTGAAATAGCCCTGTTTGTTGGGGTCGTTTGCTAAACAACCTGGTTGTTTTTTTATCTCAATTACACTATGCTTGCAGCTGATCAAAAAAAATGTATTTTAATCTGTTTTTAAAGTACCCAGTGCTTCACTTCTCACGTAGATACAAATGTGTTCAAGTAACACTGAAGTACCCATTTCGCTTCTGACATTACAAACGAAATAAATACCATGTCAAATAACTATAAATCTATGTACATTCATTTATAGCCTTACCTTAAATTCCTTTTCGATTTCAGCCAGTTTCATCATTTCTTGACGTAACTGGAATGTTGTCATTATAGGATCTGGACTGCTTAACGCCATGTACGCTGGGCTTGCTAAGGCTCTGTAGGCGTTTAACCTTGACCTTGACCGTTTCAATGAATCATAATCTTGTCTAACTTGACAGTCATTACACTGACAGGATATTGAATGTGGTTTATCGATTGTATGATTGCGCGACAGGAACATTTGTACCATTTCGTGGTTGTTATAGTGTGCTGATAAGATGAGTGGTGTAATATCTGGGGAAAACTGACTTTTTTCTGTTGTACGAAAAAATGCATTTTTTGAATCCATTCTCTTGATTTGATCTTCACCAGCTTGGTAATTAGGGTGTTCAATGATAACTCGAACTAGTTTAGGATGTCCTTTACTAATTGCATGTAATAATGCCTCTTCAATACATTCGAAATTCAGCTTATCCAGCAACATCTCCATGACATCAGTGTTTTCAGAGTCAACTGCAAGGTGTAAAGCATTACGCCCCATATAATCAACACAGTTTACATTGAATTCAACTGAATCATCGGAGTCTTCCAGTGACATACGAATTATGCCGATATCACCTGTGGCTGCTGCATTCAAGTAGACGCGTTCTTCATCTGTTAGCTGGAAGGTAAAGTTTGAAACATAATAAAGGTTGATAAATTGTAAATTAGCTTTTAAATAACCTGGCGTAATGCAAATAATTCAGTATGCTATTCTGTATGACTGACACTTAAACTATCACAATGAAAATTCTCTCATAAATCAAGAGATCACTTTTATTATTAACCTTCAGATCTTTTTCAATAGCCCTCCATTATCATCCCTTCAGTTAACCGTAGGGTTTAAAAACTCTAAATCAAATATACACTTCGGACTGAATAGTTAATTAGTGAACTGTTTCGTACAGAAGCACTCACACGTCCACGTCCGTCAATAATAATATGTAAAAGAACACGTTGAACACATGTGTCGGCGTTTTATTAGATAGATTTCAAAAGTTTTCGAAAAGTCTTAGTATACAGTGTTTTCATTAATGCAGTCATTCTTGTATGCACTGTTTGCGCCTTTTTAAGCAAAATAAGTTGGTCTTGTGAATTATGTCGTTATGCAAAGACTTTTTATCATTCGAACAAAGTATAATGTGTCTAAGTAATAAACGGTCTGTGGGGTGTTCATACAGGTCAGAAATAAACAGCTCATTAATTTTGATAATCGATAAATAAGAAGGATAATAGTACATTGACTTGGGTTTTAAAATCAAGTTGTCATGGGATACTCTGATTTGATTTTTTCTTGATAATATTTCAAATAAAATGTTTAATATTTTTCATGATCATCTTTTTCCTAGAATAGTCAGCCGGTGGACAATAATTCACTCCCGAAAGCTTTCTATCCATATATATGTATATATTATACGGTTGAGGTAAATTTCTACTAGTCACAGAAATACTGTAGCCGAAGAAATGGTCACCGGATTCGGTTTCCTAATGATATATGTGATGAGTTTACACTATAAATTCATAGTGCTAACGATATAAAGGTGATGATGACTAGGAGTGTCATTAATCATATGAAAAATTGCGTGTACAATAGTAATTACCAAATTTATGCCAATAGTTTAGACAACAGTATGTGTACCTATTGAATTGACTTTTATCGGAGAGAATCATCAATTCATTAAAAACTTCAAAACTCAGTATTCACTCTCTTCATATACCTAAAGATGAAATTCCCTTCTTAATTTTTATCAGCATAGGGGAATGAATGTGTGCAAATGATATAAAAGTGAGAGTAAAACATCGATTAAAGTTTGTCAGCTCGGTGTTTTAAAAGCCATATTATTTTAAAAGGAAAATTTGTTCATCATCAAAGTCTAGGCAATATGACGGTGTGTGACTCTAAAGGTTTTGTCTGTTTATTAGGTTTACTACATAAATGACATGATTTTGGTTTGCCAGTATGACACCATGATCACCACTTATTGTCCACAACTAATACTCTTAATATTCTGAAGTAGATTCAGTCTTTTTCTTCCTAATGATTGCACAGTTTTCAGAATATATCTTAAAAATGTGTACAGACATGTTCATTGGGTAATCGGTTGGCTTCGAAAAACGGTGTGATTCCTAATTCTTTCTGATCTTCATTATTTTCTGTGAACTATTTTCATCACATGTACATCATTTACTTTGTGTCCAAGTGACCTATATCTGTAGATTAATGGAGAACCTTTCTGGATCATGGTGACGATGGTAATTGTTTTTTTATTTCCTCAGAACTGTTATTTGATTGTGGACGTATAATCACGGGGCTTGTTAAAATATTCAGCTCCACTTTCATTAAGAAGTTATTATTCTTGGTGGTACTCGGTATTATATCTTCGGGTTTATCTTTGTAACCCGGTAAAATAACCAGATATATCAGATTGTTCTTGATCAAACTACAGTCACTTCTGTAGAAAAAGTAGACTATATTATCCTAACCTACAGATTCGACAGCCTCATTTAATCCATAATAGTTTGCTTATTAGATAGGTCACAAAGTGGAACAGTACTTTGAAGTATTGATTCGGAAGGATTCGATCAGTTTCAAGTTATGTAGATCATGAACAGAAATCTCTTTAAAAAACCTAAAGATTGAATTACGCTCATTAGCTACTGACTACAGATAAAGGTTTCGAGATCATACTGAGATTTTGTGACCAGCGGAGGCTATTAAGATAGGCGTGATGGCGGATACTTGTCGATGTCTTTAGTTAGCTATGGTGCTAGTCCTCACGAATCGGCAGAAGTTAGAATTCATAGGTCATCAGACTCTGTTTCATTCACTGAATGGTTAGTGGATTCACCTGGTTAACTGAAGGTCTTTGTTATGATCTCCAGTGGGGTGATGGGTAGTGAATCCTTGGGGTCCCAAGTCACATGTTCGGTGGTTTTTAACTAACGCCAGTTAGCGACGTATCTCGGAAGAAAACCGTCTTATTTACTGGATGATGCTTAAAACACAATTTATGCTTTCCTTTGAGAAAATGTACTATCTTTCGAATTATTATTATTATAACTGTCGTAGAGGGGATTCATGAGCCCCTAAGCTGTACTAAATTTAGTTCTTCGTGTAGAATCTCCCAACATCTTGGCATGTGACTGTTTATTCGTAAATAGGTAAACTTATAGAAAAAATGTCTGCATAGATACAATTAATCTGGGTAAAATAAGTACTACATCTAGCTAAACGAGACTCAGTAGAACTGTAAAATAAGAAATTCTTCCTTTTCATGACAAATATTTATCTATAGTAGGAATCGCATATGAATATTTTTGAACCTTTTATTTACATCATATTAATTTCACTATTTATCGCCAGTGCGACAAGCGTAGTGAGGTTAAATTTTCAAATAAGTATGTGAGATTCTTATTAAAACTTTATGGTATAACTATAGCACTTGACTTTTAGCCAGTAGCTTCTCGGTTCGAATTCTATTCGATAGAATTAAGTCCGGGCGACTGGGTAGTGAGAAGTTCAACCTTCTCTCACACAATGAGAGCCTGGTACGTGGAAAAAAATCTGTTATGGTTAACTGAGTCCTAACAGTATGCCTGAGTGATAAAGTTACACTGGAAAATGAAGGCTTGTTAAAAGAATGATAAATGAAGTGAACAGGATAAAATCAGAATTTTTGATTTATTTATTTATTTACTTAGCTGTTTGTGAGATCTTGTTTACGTAGAAAAGAAAGTCATTTTGACAGTACTCTCACTACTATTAACGAGAGAAACTGGGTTTAAATTCTTGGAATTTTTCACTGCTTATTGTTAGGGTGGTTTATTTTTTGTTCAACAGTCCGAAGTGTGATAACCATTTGTTTTCCTTATCGATGTAATGTATTAAAATGTGTGTGCGTGTGAGAACTCTGTGTATACTGGTCAATACATAATCTATCCCTTGAACACATACTATTTATTCTTTTTTCATGAGACTAGTTGATATCTCAAATTATAGTCATGTGACTTGTACCTTTCCATTTGATTCATATGAATTGTTGGTGATTAGGTAAACAGATGTAATCTCCTCTTTTAATCATAAAATTTACAGTAGATGTTAGCTAGACTATTCACTAAAAGCCTTATTACCTTCCGTACAAGAAAGAATAATGGACAGCCCTTAAGTGAAACAGTAGTTGTTGCATAACTAACACTTACAAACAGTTAGGTAATAGTAATAACGGTATTGAGTAATGACAGTTTAGGCATTAATAAAATAAAGACAGGAAGCGGCATTAAACCTAAAGTTGATTTCTGTTCAAATATTTCACAACACATATTAAGGGAAATACAAAAACATATGTTTGTTGTACGGAGCATGTACTTCCCATCTGCTTTGGCAAGTCAGATTAAGCTTCATATGCGTAGCTTCGTGGTTGTCATTTGATTGCCCTGAACCTAATGCATAAACAATGAATTTCACTAGCTATAAGATTATGTATGATATTCTAAAGTCAAGTTTTGGGTTAACGGACTGAAATCTTGGTTACTCAATGAATGGGCGCACAATAAAGGTTATGGTTTTTATCACAAATACCTGCGAACAACACAGTTCGAGGGAGAAAATTTCCGACAGTTCCTTACTGAAATCCAAAATATCCAGTTCACCGTATCTAGTCCGTTTAATACTACAAATAGCAGTGAAAAAGGAAGCATGATAGTATAATGGTGTAACTGATGATTGGTATTACTAGGTGTAAGATATTCATATCAATCACCAATACTTGTTAACATTATCAAAGTGATCAGAACGCCAGGCAGTCATTTCGCTCATTTAAGGACGGTTTTATGTGTGTTGTACTAGGGTGGAGTCAGCTGCCTTCAAACCACTGGAATTCTTCGTAGCTATTCAGGTTAACTGGTAACATAGGGAATCAGATTTGTCATTTGTCAGAAATATAATGCATTTTTATTCTGAATTATTTGAGATAATACCAATTTGTTTGTAAAGCCACTTTGGCATTTGAAGCTGTCAGCCATTCACCTTATTCAAGAAGTGTTCTCTGATTTCTTAGCTGCAGCTGACTGCTTGCCAAAGACAAAGATGGTGGTCAATAGAGAGAATCCTGAAAATAAAAGCTTACATCAGCATGACATCTTTGCTTACACAATCATCTGGTGATTGGTGTGAATCAAATAATTTCAGCAAATTATTTGTTTAATCATCTCAGCATCCAACTTTGCTCTAAATAAAAACACACGTAGTTTTTGACGAGAAAACTGGAATAACAATTGTTTCCTTAGAAAGTTTCTTTAAGTGTTTACAACCAATTAATCAGTCTTAGCTATACGTGTGTGTGTGTGTACAAAATCACCTTGTAAAAAATATTTTGCTTTACAGTCGACAGGAAATTAAATGTTCAACTGCTATATAAATTAGTCTGCTTATTTTAGCAAATATCCAGTGTTTAACTAAGTAGGTCTTATCTGATGATTAAGTTACGTGGAACATGAGATAGAAAAATAAGTTGTGGGAAAAAATGCCATTGTTTATGTTGGTTGGTTGGAGGTTATCTCTAGGATGACCACAACTTAGATCTTATGCACGTCAGCAAGAAGTATGTGAAGCTTTGCAAATGTAGATGAACACCGGAAAATATTTGAACAGGGAGTCACCTGAGGCAGAAGAAGAGCAGCTTCTACTGCTCCACATAATTGCTCCCGACATGGAATACGGTATCATCGATAGTTTTCAAATTACAAGGCCAGAAAGTTGAGGTTACTTTAATGTCAATAAATACGACTAAATAGACCAGTTATAAGTGTACTGAATGATGTCTTTGCCTCCGGTGATCCCCAAGCTGTAAGAGACAAGACAGCTGCACAACACATAGGTTGGTTACCGTCCGGCTGTTATTCGGGACATAGAATCTAGTGCAGATTTCAGTACCGAGTAAAATTAGTTCACATATGAAGAATATGATGTCTTACAAGCATCATAATACGGATTGCAGGTGAGTAGCAGCAAGCGTGGATAGATTATTTTTTACACCCAGTAAACAGTGATATGTATAACTTTGTTATCCAATTTGAGTTACATAAACTTAAAGTCTGTTTGCACACATTGGCATCATATTAATTCAGACTCCATCAGTACTCACTTTTACAGACGTTATTTTTTTGACTGCCTACTGAACTTAGCATAGTCAACCCATGTGAAATTACACACTGATATCTCGCTTTAACTGTGAGTTGAGAGAATGAATATTAAAGGAACCTATCACCTTCCCCTAAATGGCAAAAAATGGATATTAGAGCAATGCATTAAAAGGCAACAGCGACTACCATCTTCTTTTGGGCTTAAAGACGTCCGACAGAATCAGTTTTATTATCAGATGTTAATATGAATCTTGTGTATTTGCCTATTGAGGTAAGTATAAGTAAAGACTGTGCACACAAAGGTTGTTTATGCAAAAACAACTGTAGAACAAGTTGATTTCTGCTGTTCAACCTATCTACATGGAAGACCTGAAACACAGAGATTTACGCTTGCCCTAGATTAATATCCATAGGATTTATTTATTGCCTGAGTACATTTCAGTTCATTAGGTATGAACCAAACTTATTTTGACTACACTGAACCAATAGCTCACAATACACTGAAAAACTACTGTCGCTATGTCGATTAAGCGAAGTACTAGTAAATAAAAGGTAGTTAGGTTTTCAGTTGTTTTTCAGACTCATCCCTAGTGTGACTTTTTCTCTCTTCATTGCATAAATTAATCTCCAATTACGCTTATTAATTCCGCACCACTTTGAGTTATGTTTGAATAATTAATTTAGTAGACAGATTAGTCAGCGGTAAGTGCATCACTTCCTACATATATACTGCAGAATACAAACACTTGTTCTTACAATCATTTAAATGTAAATTAAGCAAGATTAATATCGTTTAACGAACTAACTTTGAAAATTGTAATCAGCGAAATTTACTGACATTCACCTTCTCTTCTTAAAATTAAAATACTAGTCTTTGAATACACAGTGTGATAAAGAGTACATGTCAGAGTCGTGTTTCTGTGTTATTAACAAAAAGAAAGCCGTGATTCCTGACCACTCAACGCTCAGTGGTGAATAGATTCAGTTTCGGTTTCAAAAATTCTGAAGAAACCACAGAACAATAAACGGCTGTCCAAAAGTGTGCGACTATGATTTTACTAGGAATCATATGGAAGACTTTTAGATTGCAAGATAAGAAATTTGACCTATAGGCCGCTAAGTTCGTATACATCAACCCGTGAATGTTAACTCCTGTCAATTCGAGATATAGCTTCATCACTAGCCATTGCTGATGTCATCCATTGCATCATAAATGTTCTCTATCCTCTGACTGATGTTAACACGTAACGAAATCTGAAAATCCCTAAAAGCCCACAGATCTGATCGCATATTATTTTGATAGACGTTTACTGTTACCATCTCTGAGGTAGACCTTCTATGTTAGTGGAAACCCAACAATTCTTTTGTACTCTGCTGTGTGAAAACAGCATCCTTTCTTACATTACAATGACAAATTCTTCTCCATTAAGGTTCTTTAAAGAGGCTTTTTGGTTTTATTCTTCTGACTAAGCCGTCTGAGTATAACCAAGTGACTGCAAATCTTAGAAACCTTTTTCACAAGTAGAGTTAATTTCCTAGGTATGGATACGTATATTCAGATGGTGGAAAGAATGTGGCCATATGGCATAGCACATCCAGGGAAACATCATTGTGCCTGGATACAAATAACGTTCTTTTAGCATATGACATCCTTTAACTCTTCATAGACTAATTCACCAAAATGTATAAACGACAACGATTCATGCTGAACCTGTAAGCAGTGCTTTTTATTCAACGAAAGGTTGTTTCGAAATGGCAAATGCAAGTATTATAATTTGTTTTTAGAAGTGTAAGCATTGAGAGAAGAAATTTCATCAGAGATGACTCAAAAAGTGAAAATAAGATAAAACTTTGCAAAACTTTCAAGAAATGTAAAGTTGACAGAGAAAAAGAATGAAGTGTGGTAAAAAAGACTGTGCATCTATTCATCTCAATCACATATTCACATCAAACCTATTGGAACATTAGAATTTAATATGAAATTAATCGAGACAACTAACTTCCACATTATCTGAAAAATTATAGTGCTGATGTAATAATACTGCCTAGTTTTCACATTCCTTCAGCTGCTGTTGCATTTTAACCCTGTTACTGAGTGAACCTGAGTGCTAATACAGGCGACCGGCCCTTTTTATTTATTCGACTTTAATCTTCAGAAAACATAGCAAAGTTTCACTTATTCTATGAATTTTCTGGTTGGTCTCATTAGTTTTATTCTGGATGAAAGTATCTGAAATCGAAATCTTGAATTCCTAGCTCGGAACAGATTACTCAACTATTTCCTACTTTTTTTGGACTGTTTGACGTTACTATTCCCTTTCTCAGAAATCTGGAAACTATCAATTTGTTTTCGCTTTGTGTAGCTAAATGGGCATTAATTTCTCCTACACCTTAAAATACAGCCTTTTTCTAGACTGTTTAGTCTGAGTGTTGTTAACATTCAGTCTGTTAATTGTTGACATCCTGTGGTATAAACTATATTTAGATTATGCGCTCTTTAAGTTACTAGTATTATAAATGCCTACTGGCAATAGAAATTCTCCTGGGAAAATGGAAAACATTTTACTTATTACACGAGTACTTATCAGTTTTCATTTAATAGAAAGAAATACAATTATCACATTCCACGAATTAAGTATAATTATGACTGACTTACGCGAACATCTTCGAAGTTGGTAAACAAACAGCCTGCCGCTTGTTTCGATGCAGAAGTAGCCTTTCTCAAGTCACTCATACTCAGCTGGTATCCTTGATAGAAGCTGTAGGTGAAAAAAATATGGCGGGAAAAGTGTTATTTTGGCTGACACATAAAAAATTAAAGGTTATTTCAAATAACAGTTGTTTTTACATACAAATGAACATGCGGCGCTGCAGCTATTCTTGTGCACTTATAGCATGACATGAGATATGCACTATTTAAATGGGGAGATCTAAGGCCTTTAGGCGTTAGTTTAAAATTCAAGTGGAGAGCGTTTTACCTTTCCAAACTTATCCCACTTTTAGAAAACAAACAAATAAGCAAAATCAGTCTTATTGCAGACTTTGCTTTGTTGTCACATTAGCTGTCAAGGCTCCAGCCCACAATAATTCTAGAGCCAAAGCTAAGGCCCATATATAGTTTTCTCTTAACATAACGTCAAGAACTCAAAGAGTGACTTGAAACCAAAAAGGTGATGTAGGACGGTTTCCGGAAAGGATTGTCAATCCATGTACGGTTACCTGAAGAGTGCCAGTATGCACTACTTACAGGCACACAGAAGTCCCTCTGTCTCTACTAGTCGACGGTGACCCTACCATCTTGCTGACAACATTGCAAATTCCACAAATAGAATTCGTTCAGCACCAACAACTAACACAACAGCATCGGTCACTCTGCAGAGATTAGCCAGAGTATACCAAAGTGTGTGAGCCAATTAAAATGATGAAAGTAATTCAAATATTGGGCTTCAGTGGCACAGCGGTAGAATACTCGCCGACCACGCATGTGGTCCGGGGTTCGATCCCCGGCCGACGCACTCCCAGACCTCGCTAAATCAGTAATAAGACTGGTGAAGAGGGAAGGTTGGGCATGAAGCTAGCAACCCCATTTCATAAAAATATAAACACCACTGCTACCGAAACTTCAAGCCTCTAGACTCAACCCCTATGTTCCACTGGGAACGTAAAGGAATAAAAAACGTTCAGTAATTACTTGATCCTAGGCACGTTTATATCTTGAATCAGCGATTGAGTTAGCTAATTTAACAACTCACTTTATGTCTGTTTACCGCAATACCGATGCCTTCAGTCTCACTTCGTTCTCACTGTGAGTAGATCATTTGGGAATACGTTTTCAGAATAACTAAATTTGATTAAGTCAGAGTAAGACTGCATGACTGTATGGATTTGAATCTGGTTACACTCTAATGAATAAAAAAATACTGACTGCCTTCCAGTTTCTTTTAGCTACTAATCTGGCTGAACTATCTGGAAACTTTCTGTATGATTATTCTAAGTCTTTGTAGAATAAAAGCCATGTGGAAGCCCCTGTACAGGTAGTTGCTGATTATCTTCAAAGCTATGGGCAATCAAGTTGACACCTGTCTCTTTCATTTTACCTGGACGCTAATACTGTGAATTAAAACAGTTAAAAGGGAGAGACACATTTTATGTGTTCAAGCTAAGAAAAGACCTGAGGGCATAAGTATATTGGTAGTGATTCTACACGCTATTGGTTTTCTTCACGTATCGATAGTAAAAGTTTACATGAATAGTTAACCACAAATTAGGTTGAAATCAAGATTATTTTAATAATAAACAGGCATTGTGTAAATAACGGAGAATTTATGCACACTCTTCACTTCGATAAAGGTCATCTAAATTTAGTTACGGATAGTTTTTCACTATACTAAAATTTTACTTAACTGTTGGACACTTTATTTTATGAGGTTACCCAGAATGAACTACAATTACGAGTGTATTTATTTAGTTAGCATTCCTACATAAGTGTACGCTTAAGTGAATATTTACCTTGATTTGATTTACTACAGAACTATTAATTGGGATAATAACCTTAAGGTTATTATGCTTATAAATATTATCCATTATTATTACACTTCGTTTGCACACAAAGCCACGAATAATTATTAATAATAATAGTAATAATAATAAATGTCTTTGTTAAAGAATGCAGCCAGTAAGACCAAAAGCACTTTGATCTAGTCATTATGTAATGTTCATTATGATTTGCCATGTGGTTTCACACATTCCGTATCCACAGAATGTGACTTTTGTTGAAACCACATGTGTACAACTCAACTGTTAGCGAAAGTAAATAAGAAACTCCCTAAAATACCAGTTTCTTGAAGTTACCAAATAAACAGCCTATTTCCTATCTGTATCAAGTTTCCTACTGACTGCTTCTAGTTTCCGTTTTGTTTAATATTCATTTAAAATTTTTCAGTTGTATGCGAAAGATATTCCTGTTTCCGAGCATCAAGTTGATTGTGGTAAATCAATACAAGTGCTCATCAACTAGTCTAATATGTATATCACTCATACCAGATGGATGGATAAATGAAACATTTAACTCTTATGTTGATCTACTGGCGCGAAAAAATGCTTTCAAATGGCAAATTGTTCTGACTGAAGTGGTTAACTAAATACATAAGAATTGGGCAATGAATCACAAAATAATTTAACTAGTCAACTTTGTTTTTCTGAAAATGCATACTTCTATATCGATGGTGAGATTACCTGAAATTCATAGACTACTGTGAATGAAATAGATAGTAGTTAAAGGTAAAATTTCAAAAAAAACTGTCGTAGTTAGACGTCGTACCTCAACTGGCAAAGTACTGGACTAATAATTTCATAGCCGCTGGTTCTGATCCTACAGTAACTCAAATTTCCAATTCACCTTCAATTGAATACTTATTTAGTGAAAAGCAAACGTTCATATCAATTCCTCCCTTAAGTTAGTTTATTCCGTTACCTGTGCTACTGATGCGTTACATGTAAAAGAAAGGACTAGCAATTGAAGTAAATGACAATGTGTTATATTCTTGTACGTATTCCTCAGGTAAGTATTTTTGATAAGTTTCTTACGTTCATAATGCTTCTTTTGGTTGTTACTGATTAGTCTCCACCACTTATTTTTTAGGTTTCAGCAGCGAGTAAAACAAAGCTGAAACAACATTTTATTTCACTTGTATACATGAATTCTTCACAATTAACATTGCTTAATTTTGTACGTGTATCTTATTACTAGATTCTACACAAAAAGAAAGTGAATAACACTAATAACTATTTGGATGTTTTTAATAGACGTTCTTACTAAATCCTAGAATATCAAATTTCTCCCCTTTTTACCATACGGAGAAGGATTCAGAAAACTCTTTTAATTATCGTAGAACGAAGGGAACAAACAACACTACATATTTTACCTTTTTAGCAAATTCTTTCAAAAGTCAGTGACAGTGAAGCATATGATGAACATGGTTTCCTCAATTTTCTCACATGTAGGAAGCGTAGTAAAGGTATAAAATCAAGTTTGTAAAGTTGAAATACTTATTGGACTGCTATTGACCTTAGATCTAATCAGTACAAGTGACCAGAGCCTATTCTTCATCCTTTCGTCCTATTCACCATCTCTTTGTCTTTCTGTATATACCCAGAAATTGTCAAAATCAAACCTGGTGGATGATGTAATAAGGCACTAACCAGACGGAGAACCAAAGACTTAAGCTTGTGCATACAAAGTGAGAGCACTAATGACAGCACTGGTGCAATGCAAAGAACATATATTCTGTCTATGTTCGTTACTTACAATGAGTACTGGTAAATAAGACCATTCTTTTCAATTTACTTCAGTGTCGAAATAAATAAAGCTACTCAAATCTAATGAGATAATATTTAAGGCTGGTGAAGATCACTTATGGGCTAGCAACCCAAAAGAAACAGCATATCATACACTTTCGCCTGGTAAAATTTTTAAGACGTTTTACATCTCTTTTTTTCGAATGGCTGTAGTAATAATTATTAGAAAAACTGAATCCAAACGTGCCTTGTATAAATGTTCAATAGTTTCCCTTTATTCTTTCCTCAGTTTTTCACATGATCACATAGTCGCCTTTACTCACTCATTTCTACTTCTTTTTCCCACTCACTTAAAAATATTTCTTCCCCATATGGTATTAAACTGTCTCCTTTTATTGAATTTTTGTATCTTAACATTCTTCAATATTGCTAAATTCTAATGTGCTTTGTCTCCAAACATGTAGTGACATTCTAAGGCAATATACAAAGGTAAGTGAATTTTTTGTCATACTTAATTATTTATGCAAGCCGGCCTATAGTAATAATGAAAAACTCCTATGACGAAAAGAATTCATTTTCTGGCAGTTTCTCGGATTTCAGAGTATGAAACTTCCTTTTGTTATCAGTTTAACTGCAGTCTTAAGTACTGTTTCAGAATGACTGGACTTCCGGGTGTTGTTTTGTCCACTGTACACCTTAATAATCAGGTCAAAGTGGTGTAAACAGTACAGTCCTTTTTTTGCCATTTCGATAATGAACTCATTAAGAGTGTATTCAGTGATATTTGAATGACACAGAACCAATTCATTTGCTTTACGCTCTCACTTCATTTGAAAGACTCATATCTATATCATTTTAAAGATGTGAATTTAAAAAGAAAAATCAGATACGCAGTTTTCGACTGCGAATCTGATCAGTGTGAGATCATCTGGTTTTTAAGGGGTTTCAACAGGCCTTGCACCACGGAAATTATCCAGGCCGTAATGTTTAACCGGCCAATGAATTTGACATTGTAGAATAGGAGTTATCAGGTTCAATGCATTTGTCTTACACAGAATAACATAAAGCGACATCTATTTACTCTGTTTATATGTATAAATAATCAGTGTCTTTTCCGAAATCTAAGTCAAACAAATAGAACTATATTTTATTTTGTTAAATGAGGAGGAAGCCGTAACAAAGATAGAATAACAGAAGTGAATAGCATTCCCGAACCCAAGTTATCAATATCACTATTACTTCCATCATCATCATCATTGTCATCCTTGTCTTCATAAGCTTACTTATTCTGTTTACTATATTCATATTTTATTCTTATTCTTCTAGGTGTTGAAGTATGTGTGACTGTGTGTGTGTGTGTGTGTTAGCATGCGTAATGCAATGCTTGACTAAATGAGTAATCACGTAAAACTTCCTCCATGTAAACACGTACACACACATACACACGCATGCACGCGTACAC